ATGAAACACGCCTCCTGAGTTGGGTCTCAGACCTACACCTGCAGAAATGCTGTTGGTTGGTCTGTCCTCGTCTGGCCTCGCTGACCCAGCTGCTGCTTACGGCTGAGAATCATTCAAAGATTCAAGCCTGCAATTCATTTTGCTCTGTAGGGCATCGTCAAGCATTCCGGTTACCACAACTAGGCCAAAGGGAGAATCCTTATGCTTTTGGTATCAATTTGGATGACCTTGTCAGATCAATGGTCACTCTGAAGAAAAGGGTTCAGTGTCGAGTTATCTGGAACAGCAAGTTAGGCATATGTATAAGTACATTCATATATGTAGCCAGGATATTGACACCATGATGACTTTCGCCTCTCATCAGATCCTGAAGCTCTTTCTCTTCTGAGGTATAAAAATCATATTTCTCAGTGTCCACTTTTCATACTGTCCTACCGGTATGAAACGTATGAAAGGTAAATTATTTAGTGATCCATTTACATCAGCGTCTTTATGTTCTGTGCCTGCTTCCAGAGAGTTTTGAGGGGGTTGTGACTATTTTTTTAATTACGGTGGAACTTAATTCGAAGCGATTTGATTCAGGGTAACATCACTAGTTGTTAGATTGGATTGCTATTTGACCCATTCCTCTCCACTTTAGCACCTATCTTTCCGACCATACTTTTGGTCGCCTTCTTTACACCCCCCCTCCCCACAAAGTTATAGTTCCCAGATAGCTGTGTGAAGCCCTCTGAGATGTCCTCCCAAAATGAAAGGCATTCTGGAAATTATTTACTGATTCATTTACATCAGCCAAGATGCCATTTTTTGGGAGTCCTGTAGCTCAGTGGTTAGAGCACTCGCCTTGCAAGCAAGACATCTGGGTTCAATTCCAGGCAGAGGGCGAAACCTTGGGCAAGTTTCCTTACTCCACACAGAGCCTAATAATAATCCCTCCAAAAAAAACAATAATAAATTTGTCATTTTCAATCCACGACTGTTTGTGGGACACTGCTGTGCGCAATTGGCTGTCTACTGTTTTGCTCACAAATACACGGTCAATTCACTTTACAGTCTATTCTGTGAAGCGCTTTGAGACGTCGAGAAGACGTGAAAAAGCGCTATATCAAATGCAAGGGTTATTAAGGATTATTATTATTATCTCTATGTCCTGTGCTTGGAATTCTTGTACAGGGCAGTCTTGTGTTTTGGATCCGTAAAAGCGGGTTTTAATGCAACGTGACCAGGCGCTGTGCGGGAAGCCTACAGGCCACTTCCAGGACTAAGAGAAAAGCTGACATGCGGGTCGGTCAGTGACGGCAGGGTCCCCCTGATCATGTGCGATGCGAGAAGTGTCAGTGATGGCGACCTGATGATCTGGAAATTAGCCTTTTTTTTAGCACAGGAAACTTTGCAATCCTCGTCATTGCTATTTCCTGGTCTGTGTGTGTGCCGCAAGACAGGAAGTGATGCTGACGTAATAAGCTGGAAGTGGAGCCCACGGTGTAACTACAGTAAACCTCACATAAGTCAGATCAGTTGGGACCAAACATTTAACATGACTTATGCAAAGTATGAGTTGTGTCAAACTTGCATTGAATATATACTCTTGAACCGGACTTGGGCAGATGTCTGACTTAGGCGATTAAATGATTTATACAGATCAGCTGTATGCGAGTTTTAGTGTATAAGTGAATTAATATTACAGTGAAGCGTGTTAAGCCCTCCCAGATACTATCCCACGTGAAGGGCCCCATATAACTGCAAGTTGTTCTTGTGTTATAGCGGGACTTCACTGCATCGACATTTAATAAGACTTGTGTGCAACAAAATCAAATGGTCTGAACTCTCCATTCGGGAAATGACGTATGTTCTCATAGCAAAAAGTGCAAGCTCTCTCTCTTTGTCCTCGCTGTAGGACATTCAGCATTAAATCCTTCGGTTGGGTGGGGGTGGACGAGGAGGGTTCGTCCACATCTGTTTTGTAGCTCTCCTCCAGCTCGGGGTTTGCGGTCGCGCTGATATGAGAGGTTGGTGAATTCTGGCGCATTCCTGGAGTCAGGCTCGTTGTTGCAGGTTGCTAGGACAACAGCGAGCTTCCCTCCGGGAATCCACGGGCTGTGTTAAATGCGGCCTTGCCCGTTCTGTGACGTCCCAGGATTTGTTGTCGGCTGTGCTTTCTTATCCAAGCTTTCTGCTGCTGCTTTTAAATGGATGGGTTCTGACAGCTTAGGCCGTTGTGACAAGCAGCTGTAAACTTGAATGTACCGATTGCTTTTTTTTTCGCTTCCTCTCTCTCGCTCGCCCGGCGACTGTTTGCTTGCACGGAAGCCACCGGAGATGGCTGTGTGGGGTATGTTAATACCATCGCTCTGCTCTGAATGCTTAAAATTCTGCTCTGCTGCTAGTACTGTCTTTAAGAGACAATTTAGCTCTTACCAGCAACCACAGTATTAGATGCTCTCTTTTAATGCCTTTGATTCTAGTTCAAGGATAAATTAATGCACTATCTTTTGATTTAACCACTCGTCTGTGGAAGAATAATAAGTAATATGATAATAATCCTTGCATTTGAGTTAGCACCTTTCCCATCTGGCAGACATACCGAAGCGGTTCACAGGATAAACTGTAATAATCCTAATAATAATCCTTGCATTTGAGATAGCACCTTATCACATAGTTGAGACATCTCAAAATGCTTCGCAGATTATACTGTAAAGTGAATTGACTGTATATTTTGTGGGCGAAATGCTGCAGCCAATTGCGCACAGCAAAGTGCCACAAACAGTTGTGGATTTTGTTAAAGGATTATTATCCCGGAAAGCAATCCAGCAATTGAATAACAATCAGGTTTCTATTTATTGCTAGGTAAACAGAAGCGTGTGAAGCAACGAAACTTGCCTAAGGTTTCACCCCGCCCGGGAATCGCACTCGGGTCCTCTTGCTTGCGAGGCGTGCGCTCTAACCGGTAAAGTTACTGCTCTGTGAAGTGTAGAGACTGTATTTTGTAGGCAAGTGGAACATGCTGATTAGTCAAACATTATACCATTACCTCGGAGAATGAAGTGCCAATTTGACCAATTAGAGTGCATATTTAGAAGTTTTTTCGAAATCCGAATTTTAAAAATTGTTTATTTTGATCAGATCGTTGAGTTCTTGCTTTTCCAAAGTTATAAAAAAACAATTTGTTTTCAGTGCCAACCTAACCTACCTGTCCACAAGGAGTTTGTATTGTTGTAAGTCTAACGATAAAATATGAAATTCAGACCGATTATCTGATATCCGAGCACAATACTTGCTCGCATTTTGTAATAATTTTGTACATTTTGTCCTAAAATTGCTATATTGCTACAATGATGTGCACAAATTGGCTGTCGATGCACCCACAAAATACAGTGACACCACCTTACAGTGTTTCATGTGAAGTGCTTTAAGACGGCTCGTGGAGGGGTCAAGGAGCTATATCAAATGCTAGGATTATTATTAGATGTTGGTGTGCGACCAGCTGGCTCTTCGATAACATTTAGCATGTCGGTGTGGCAAACCGCCTGTTACTTGTGAATTTGCAGAACTCTCCTCCGTACTCCACAGCTGGCAGCTTAGGAAGTACTAATCTGATTTCTTTCACTGTTAGATGTGATAAGGTTCTATATGCATATGCAGTGTATTTACTAATAAGCTATCAGAGGGAGCTCCAATCTTGTATTAGTTCTGTTGCTTCAAAGGTTGCATTAATCAATGGTTTACGGTAAAATTGAAGGCAGTAAATATTCCAAGCTTGGCCCCATTGCTCTACTGAAAAGCTATTTATTTACAGATCACCTTTCCATTAACTGTGTTGGCTCCTTGTTTCTGCCATTTTCATATTGCGATGCTTTCTCCAGCACTTTGTCCGGGTTTCTACACGACACAATGAGGCACTATATTAAACGCAAGGATTTTTTATTTGTTTTTTTGTGAACTCATTGGAGGTATTGGTGTAAAAGATCTGATTGCCTTGTGACAGTGTCTGCACTTGAAATGAGAAAATGACCAGTTTGGGTCACCAGCTTGATCTAATATTTCAAATGTTGGTGGTTGGGTAGTGAAATTGAGGCAGAGAGTTAGTGATTATTTCCTTTGTGCTCTGTGCAGGTACAGATTGTGATCCATTGGGAGTGTCTTGGACCTAAATAGTTGTGCATCACTTTATAGGGAGGTTCCTTTGATAGAGGATTGTTTTACATGGAATAACAGAGTAAAATTCATTCAATGGTGGACTCTATTAGCAGAAGGCATCAATCAAGCTCTTTTACAAGGCTGTTTCTCACACCAACTGCAAGTATGGACATATATAAAACCTGATTTAATCAAAATCTACACTGCACACAAGTAATTCAGTGAAGTAGGTAAAGTGCGCATTTGGTAGTTCATCACTGTAGCCAGTAAGTGTGCATGCGGTGTCTGGTCAAGACTACATATCCCTCGATTCAATGCGACTTGACCCGTCACCCCATGAACACTTACCGGTAAGCATTGGAATCGTGGGAAATGAAGTTCTGCGCATGTGGTGCGCAGAGACAACGCCCGGCGTAGAGGGCGCTATATAAATGCAAGTTGTTGTTGGTGATGGATCAAGACTATGTTTCCCCCGATTCACTGCACCACATGTAAGTACGTATACATCGATGGGTCAGGATGTCATTTCCCGTGATTCAATGCAGCCGATAAACGCTGGAATCATTGAGGATAGGGAAGCGGCATTTTGAGTTAGGAGATGATAAATACGACTAGTGCAAAGAAATCTAAATGGTTTTGATAGGAACCTGAATGGGATTTGGGTGTAGGTATGATTTGGGCGATTATATGATTCGTAAAGATAAGACTTATGAATTAAGTTGGTAAGTCAGCTTACTCCTCAAGTCTGAGGTTTTTAGTAGTGAAGTGGAATGTTCACACCCGATATCCACAACACGAAATTTGTGCAGCTTTTTATGAACCTTCACTGTTCCTCCCATGTAACTTGCGTAAATCTCTTGCAGTGTGTTCTATGGGACCCAAAACCAGCAGGCTGTACAGTGCTCTGGCTCCGACTATAACCACAAATGGAATCCCACAGGTGCCTAAGTTCATGATGGACCCCAACCTGGAACCGCTTGATCCAACAGACCCCAGTGACCTCCTGAAGGAATGTCAGAAAGCTCTAGAGAAGCGTCCGCCCCGGCTCCAGCGGGACTTCCTGGAGCTAAGGAAGATCCAAGTTCCCACTGATTGCCGCCCGATCCGGGTCATGCAGTGGAACATACTAGCACAAGGTAGGGCAAGTCTCCCTGGCTACGCTGGTCACACAACAGAACCCACATTTAAAATGTGTGTTCTGGGGCGCTTGTATTAAATTGGATTCTGGTGACGAGGTGGATTTCACGAACTAGTTCTTAATCTTGATATGTTTAATAACGTGTACTTCTACAGGATTACCCTAAAGCCAGTGTGTCCCACTTATTTAATCTGGAGATGAGACCAAGGTTTCACTGCCTTCTGCTGAGTCAAAATAATTCTGGGACATCTTAGCCACATGTTCCTATGGTCCTCCACAACTTTTTTTTAAGATTAAAGCTTCTTTATTTTTGCTAACATTTGTATTCTACTGTACTGCCTATCAACAAGTTTACCATCTCTGCTGTAGTTTGTTCAAATGTGTTAATGTAAGTATTAGCCCTAAAAGTTGATGTGCTTAGAGCTATTCAACTACTGGTCATATGCCTGACGCTGACAGCATCACCATCCATGGATGCCTTCCCCCACCTCCACAATATCGCCCGGCTCTGCCACTGTCTCACACCGCAGGCCACCAAAACCCTCATATATGCTTTCATTACATCAAAGCTCAACTATGCAAACTCATTGCTCGTCGGCCCCAACTCCTCCCTTCATAGGCCGCAGGTCATCCAGAACTCTGCAGCCCGTGTCTTCTCCCGCACGAGCCTCTGTGACCCTATCACCCCCATCTTTGCCCGACTCCACTGGTTTCCCATCACACAGAGGATACAGTTCAAGATCCTGGACCTCACCTTCAAAGCCCTCCATGGCCTTGTTCTCCCCCTACCTCTGCGACCTCCTAACTCCCAAGCATCCTGCCCGTTCCCTCCACTCAGCGGGCTCCGGCCTGCTTCACATCCCCCGCCTCGCCCATCCCACCATTGGCGGGTAGGCCTTGTGCCACTGTACCCCCATCCTTTGGAATTCCATCCCTCAGTCCCTCCACCTCACCCCCTCCCTGGCCTCCTTCAAGACTCATCTCAAGATCTCCTCTTCGACCATGCCTTCGATCACCCTCTTTCCCCCCCCACCCTGCCCTCCAGCCTCCCCGATTCCCGACTCCCAGCTCAGGTCCGAAATACTGACTGTCCAGCACCTTGGGACGTCCTCCTGACATGAAAATAATAATAATCCTTGCATTTGATATAGCGCTTTTCACGTCGGGAGGACATCCCAAAGTGCTTCACAGAATATACTGTAAAGTGAATTGACTTTATATTTGTGGGCGAACGCGGCAGCCAATTGCGCACAGCAATGTCCCACAAAGAGTCGTAGATTGAAAATGATCAATTTATTATTGTTTTTGGTTTTGGAGGGATTATTATTAGGCTCTGTGTGGAGTAAGGAAACTTGCCCAAGGTTTCGCCCTCTGCCTGGAATTGAACTCAGGTCTCTCACTTGCAAAGCGAGTGCTCGAACCACTGAGCTACAGGACTCCATGAAAGACGCTATACAAAGTCATTTTGTTGTTGTTATGACTACCAGATACATCAGGGCAGCGTTTCTCAAATGCAGCCACTCGCTTGAATTTTTGGGGCCACAGCAGCCCCCACTCCACCCTCCCACTGCATGAGATTTGCAGCTGCTATTGACCAGCTTTAGCGTTAATGCAGATCATGGCCAGATTTCCACATTGACCAGGAGAGACAGGACCCTATGTTTTATATTACACAATAAAATGTATCATCAGTCAGGGGACACGAGCCATTGTCTGGCATTGGTGCTTGTGTTGCAGCTGGAACATTGAAGCAGTAAATGTAATACTAATCCTTGTATTTGATATAGCATCTTAACATGTCATTGAGACGTTTCAAAGCGCTTCACAGAATATATTGTAAAGTGGATCGACTGTATATTTTGTGGGCGAAATAAAGTGGGCATGTACAAGTGGTGAACAATTTGTCCCTAATATAAACTAGAATAATGTGTGAGTGTGTGAGAAAAAAAAGATGTATTTTAATTTCACCTATTTTTTTTTCCCCCTGCTCCTGTTTTGACACAGCTCTGGGGGAATGGAAGGACAATTTCATCAAGTGTCCGAGAGAAGCTTTGAACTGGTCCGAGCGTAAATACCTCATCCTGGAGGAGATCGTAACCTACCGGCCTGATATTGTGTGTTTGCAGGAGGTGGACCACTACTTTGACACCTTCCAGCCGGTACTCCGAGGGCTGGGTTATCACTCCACCTTCTACCCTAAACCGCGGTCGCCGTGCTTGGATGTGGAGAACAACAATGGGCCGGATGGATGCGCCTTGTTCTTCCTACGGGAGAGGTTTGAGCTGCTTGACAGCGTCACCCTCCGTCTGGTGGCCAAGAGGCTGCAGACCAACCAAGTGGCCATTGCCCAGACTTTGCGCTGCGTGGAGACGGGCAAAGTCTTCTGCGTAGCCGTGACCCACCTCAAAGCCTGCAGTGGGTGGGAACGATTCCGCTCGTCGCAAGGCAGCCACCTGCTCCACAACCTGGAGAGCATCACTGAGGGGGGCGGCGCACCCCTCATCGTGTGCGGAGACTTCAATGCCGAGCCCACTGAGGATGTATACAAACAGTTCAGCTTGTCCAGCCTGAACCTAAACAGTGCTTACAAGCTGCTGAGCAAAGACGGGCAGTCGGAGCCTCGCTTCACCACCTGGAAAATCCGCACGACCGGAGAGAGCTGCCACACTTTGGATTACATCTGGTATTCCAAGCAGGCTTTCATTGTGAATACGTTACTCAATATGCCAACAGAGGAACAGATTGGCCCAAATCGGTTACCATCCTTCCACTATCCCTCCGATCACTTGTCTCTCGTGTGTGAGTTCAGCTTCACGGACAATCCCATTAAATCCTGACCCCAACATCACCTCTTTTTGATACCCACGCTTGAGATTAAAGCTCCAGATTGGAATGAAGCAGAATGACTTGTGTTTCTTTGGTAATGACCTAAACAACACCCTTGCCGTGAAACCACCTGAAATAAACATGTAGCCTCAGAACAGGAATGGTATGAAAATGATGTACATTGGATGTTACACTATTTGTGTTGCTTTACAATTTGAGATTAAGTTGAAATGCCAGTGAACTTTGTAAGCGGTTTTTAACTGTTTTGGAGGCTTAGAACCAATTCTAGATATTCAGTAACCTGAATGTGCGATCACTTGAACTGTTTTTGTTTTTCTTAGCATGTTCTAAGTATTGGTTAGTGGGTGAGGGTTTCACTCTTACCCTCCTGTGGTGGATAACCCAGTCGTGACCTTAATGATCAACTTTAGCCCTAGACGTTGAGAAGAAAAACTGGAGACTTGTTTGCTAAAGCTAGCAAATTCCGTTCCCGTTACAAAGTGCAATCAAACAAATGTTTAGCTGCATGGTTGATGACTTCTCCATCACCACTACCTAACAGACATAGTTACTGTAGTTCAACACTGATATATTGGGAGCGTGGAGAACGGGAAGTGAACCTCCAGGACAATCCATCCACCAAGTCTCCAAATGTTCTCAAAGTCTGTTCTCGAGGGAGTGATTCAAGTACTGACATCACTTCACCTTTGAGCACAAATCACCAAGTCACACATGTACAACTCCATCTGACTCAAGTGCTGCGTTAGTACAGGCCTGTGAGCATCTTGTCTGCTATGGTGATGTAACGTTTTGCAGAGGAACCAGATATAATAATAACCTTGGATTTGACTAGCGCAGGATCACGTCATCGAGGTGTTTTGTGGGTGAAAAGTGACAGCCAGTTTGTGCACAGAAATGTCCCCACTAACAGCCAATGGAGTGAGTGACCAGGTTTATTTGGGGAGGGGTGTCAGCCACTGGGAGAAACTCTTCTCTTTTCCGAAGGACGGCACTTTCGACAACGCAACATATCCAGCACTGTATTGAAGTATCACCCAAGTGTCAGCTTAGACTATGATTTCAAGTCCTAATTTGGAGCTTCAATCCACAACCTTCTGACTCGAGAGGTGAGAGCGCTACCTCCTGAGCCAGACTGACACACAGAGGAGAACGTTCAAAAATCTTGTTTGTTTTATTTTAAAAGAAAAGGGTGTCAAAATACCAGCTCACCATAAAGCTTCACCTTTCAGCCACAGTCTTGGGCTGTCAATTCTTAATTGAAGGAAAATGAGAGGATGGCAGAGATCAGGTGGTGGTTTACCTGCTTCCTATGTTCGGGAAAAGTGCTGACACGGTTAACACTTGCCTGAGTATTAAACCTTGCAGTGTTAAATTGTGGGTAAAGCTGAACTAGCTTTCCAATCTTGATTTGCATAGCATTCGAGTATCTTGAAAGGATGTTTGCAGCGGGGGAGAATGCTGCAAACATCAAACACAAGAAGAGGATCCCTTAAAGTTTTAAACTTTTTATCTAAAAAATGCATTTCAGGGAGATATTTCAATAACAGTGTTATCCTTGATTAAAAGAAATGACAAATTGCGGTTAAGCTAAGCTGGTGTGGAATTTGTATGCATTTGACCAAGCATTGATATCAAGTTTATTTTGGTTTTCATTAAAATTTATGGTTCTAGTTAGTTTTATAAACTTTCAGAGTTTTTTTTACATTAGCAAAACTGCTGGAATGTCCAATGTTAACAATTGATGTACTGGAACTTCCTACCATTTAAAACAAATCCACTACCCAAACTTAGAAATGTATTTTCAAGTAAAATTTCTGAATCGATAGTATTGCCTGAAAAGCTCCTGTGTGTTGCTGTAACCTTCAGAAACTAGAGGGTAATAAGTGTAAATTAATAAGCTAATAGTAATGTTTTAAGTCCTAAGAATAACCACTGTGCTATAGTTTAAAAAGCTGAAGAACTTAGAAAACTATTTTAGCTAAGATGTATTGTGTTTTCAGGAAGTCTAAATTTAGACAATTCTCCAAATTCAAAGGCGAGCAGCTGATAAGACTTTAAATGTAGTCTGCCTGTTCAGGTGCATGTTAAAGGTCCCATGGCACTACTTAAAACAGAAGTTTCTCCCAATGTCCTGGCCAACAAACAATCCCTCAGATAACATTGATCATTTGTTTCATGGCTGTTTGCTGTGCGCAAATGCCCTGCCCCCTTATAAGCCCTGTGTCAAATGCAAGGGTTGTTTTACAGAGAGCTGGCTTCCAAATTGAAGAACGGTTTAAGAATCTTCCAGAATTCTGCACAATCTTAAATTTTAAGACCATGGGATATTTTGGGCTTTTTGCACAAAGACTTGAAAAGGAAATGTGGCTCTGAATTATTCCTTTTGGAAGAGCCTTGCAAACAACTATGAATGTGATTTTTTTTGTGTGTGGGGCAGAGGCAGACGTAAATGTCTGTATTTATTCTCTGTATCAGTCTGATTCGGTTTTGTTTATATCATTGTATGGTTTGTTTTTGCTCCAGTCGCCTGTCTCTCTGCAGCATGTGTGACCCAGAGGGTACAGTAAACACCTGATAACTCAACCCTGGCTTAACTTGTCACTACCACTTAAGTCATCACACTGTCAATATCCTGGCCACATTTATTTATGTGTGCGTATTTATATGTATGCCTAACTCACCACTAGAGATAACTAGTTACTGAGCCCTTCCCATGGAGTGACGAGTTATCAGGAGTTTACTGTATTTCCATTGAATTACTCTACCAGATTAATTGAACCAATCCCTGATGATAGAAAGATGTCTGTTCTTGTGCTAACTGTTTCCTGGCATTACAAATGTAAACTCGTATAACTTATTTTTGTGACATAAAATATAAGTATTTTAATATTGAAATCAATTTACATATAGCTATTAAATGCTTACATAGAAGTATGTTGTACTGTTTTTGTTTAACCCCTTCTTTCCCCATCCACACATCCTCTGTATTTATGGTTTCAAAGTGCATTATTAATTTATTATTGATGCATTCACTCCTCTTTGTGCATTTATCTATTCATTCAGAATTGAAACTGTAGGCAAAATTTGATTCCTTGAAGCAATCCTCAGCTTATTTAAGGATACTTTTGAGATCACCCAGTAGGTGGTGGCCATCTCTCAGTGTAAGAAACCCAGTGGTCTGAGTTTTGTTAAGTAGAGATGATTATTGCAATGGGTTTCACCCTTCAGTATCCTAGTTGGATAAGGAAATACCACATTCTTCGCTGGCATGAAGAACATGAGGGAAATAAATTAATTTTCTTATCCTCAATGTAAGTCCCAGAGTTTAATAAAAAAGGAAAATAAATGTTTTTCTCTATCAATCACCTGCACATTATTTTGCTGAGATACATATACAAGAGAGGAGTAGGTAGGTACATTAGGTGTCCACCTGACTCAGTTAGTAGCACTCTTGCTTCTCAGCTCGGAGTTTGTTGGTTAAACCACAGGAAGATGATCAGTGCCAATACTTCTCAGTAAGTTACTTATATTTATCGTCTCTTGAAATGTTGTCATTCTTAGAATAAGAAAACCGTATAGCTATTGTGTCCCTTCCAGGGATGATACTCTCTTTATTTCTGTTGAAATTTATTACAATTAACTCATCTTGAATTAAAGACCATTTGTTTGTCTTAAGATGCCTGGTATTTGTGTGGGAGTGTTCCAATGTGTGCAGTTGCATAAAGAGGTGATGCAGAAATGGGAGCTTGTTAAAATGAGAAGGATCTTAAAGTTCTGCTGACCAACCAGTGCGGAAAGGTAGTGGGAAATTAGAGCTGGTCACACTATTCGTATAGTATAAAATGCTACTTTTGGTCTAAAACCTCATTGATCCCCCGGCACTTTGTTTCTGAAGAAGAATTAGTCAAAGACTTCAGCACAATGTGTTATACTTACAAGTCTGACCATAATCTCTGCATTCAAACTCTTTGGGGGTTTCAATGGCATGGAGTTAGAGCACTCGCTTTACAAGTGAGAGACCTGAGTTCAATTCCAGGCAGAGGGCGAAACCTTGGGCAAGTTTCCTTACTCCACACGCCTAATAATAATCCCTCCAAAACCCAAAACAATAATAAATTGGTGGTTTTCAATCCACGACTGTTTGTGGGACATTGCTGTGCGCAATTGGCTGCCGTGTTCGCCCACAAATATAGTCAATTCACTTTACAGTATATTCTGTGAAGCGCTTTGGGACGCCTAGAAGATGTGAAAAGCGCTATATCAAATGCAAGGATTATTATTTCAATGCCACTCAACAACAGGTCACTTTTCTTTAAAAAGCAGAAATTTGACGGATGCTAAATGAGAATCATAACGCCACAAGGCAAATGTCAAGCTGTCCCCAGTCAGGTCACTGACATGATTGCAGTACATTGTTCGTTACAGTGGCAGTGCACAAAAACAGGCCATTCAGCCCCAACTAGTCAGTGCTGGTGTTCATACTCCATACAAGCCCTCACTCTTCTTATTCCCCTCTGTTCCATTTCTCCCTCAAGTATGGATCAGATTTTCTCTTAAATACATTGATACATACATCAGTGATATCCTTCAAACAGTTAAGATATTTGCAGTGTTTCAGAATACAACACCAGACATTTCACTCCAATACTCTTTCCAGAGGAACTGAATGAAAGTGGAAACTTGTCAGAATGGAACTGATTCAAGAAATGCAGTTTCTGTGATATTTGCTGATCAAGTAAGATTTATTGGTGATAACTGACTAAAACGTGTTTTTACGTTTAATTTCATCTTTTAGTAAAAAGTCTTTAAAGAAGACATGGACACCAGATTTGTTTGTATTTCTTTACCAAAAGTCAACCAAAAACAGGTTTCACTTTTATATTTTGGTAAAATCTACTTGAATACACTTTGAAACAAGAGTACAACAAAATAGAATATACTTCAAATGTTGAAACTGTACAAACGTCTTCAGTCAGAACACTGGGCATCTTCCTCATTGAACGTTAAAGAGCGAGTTTCAGGACCCGGTGTCAAACTTTTATAAAGAATTGTGATCAGCAACATTTTGCTTTTTTTAAAGTTTGGTTTTACTGCTCTTTCACAATTTCTGAACCCTTATGCTCAAACGGTAAGTCCAATGAGATCCAATGGCACCACCACGTTCAACAGGTATAACTGTGTCAAAACTACATTAAACTAAAAGACTTACCCAAAGTTTTTTTAGGTTAAGTGAGTTATCTTTACTCAAGATATGACTTAAAACCGACCCAAGTCAATGCCCCTCATCCCCCACACCACGCTGTGAGACACTTCCTCATGTGAAGAGCGCTATATAAATGCAAGTTGTTGTTGCCATTAACTTTTTGCAGGGGAGTGGGGAAAAGGAAAGGTTTCAGACTGTTAGTGCTAATAAACATTTTTTGCCTTTCTGAAGGTGCAAAGTGTGTAAGACAAAGTTAAACTTCACTGTTTAAACTCAATGATTCACAAAACAATTGTCTGGGTGGGTGTCTGGAACAAAAAAAGGCTGATCACAATTCTTTCCTTCCGCCCAAGAAAAAGGTTCCGGATCGTGAAGTTCCCTAATTAATTGAAGTCTGCAGGTTTAGAAGTACCTAAAAAGAAACAGCTCATTGCACAAAACCTAAACGGAACATGACCTTGAAATGACAAAAAAGATAAAATCCAGAGTGAAATGTTGGTACAGACACAGTGGGGCAAAGTGACACAGGCATTAGAGAAAAGTTGTGCAGCCGAAAGTCTGTCACTTAAATTTGACCACAACCCAGGTAGCTGACTGACTCTAACTACCATAAGATAACATGTTACTCCATAACAATACTGTGCTTTTAAGTGTAAGATTAAAAAGAGCTTTAAACAAAAATCTAGATCTTTTTTCTTAGCTTATTTTTTTTAAATGAGAGGGAAAACTGAAGCTTCCATTTTAACGTTGCTCACAAACTTAATTATACAAATCCTGCAAAAAGAACTTCACATTCATCTCTCCAAATAAAAGCAGTTTAATCCCGAGCTTCTATTTCAACTTAATCCTTCTTCGTGTTCCAAACACAGTTTTTTTTAATATATAAACGAGAATTCACTCAGCACCAGTAAAAGAAAAAAAAATACTGCGTGCACACAGTGTTATTTAAACAAATGCCGCCACTGCAGTTGATTGCAAAAGGCAGCATCCCCGGTTTTAAAAAGGCCCAGTGTCACCAGCGATTTCCTGCACACTAGTAACCAATTCCTATCCTCCACAGGTTCTTGGGCTCCCAGGACCCCAGGGTCAAATAGATCCAATCCTGTCACAGTTCTAATGACAAGCACGACTGGCCTGATTCGATCAGGCAAGTTTCACCACTTAAGGTTGATGAAGAAAAATATTCCTGGTTCAAAATGTTTTTTAAAAAAAAAGTGGCTTTCATTGCAAGATGAGGGCAGGTTACATTGCTCCCACCACAGCACTGCTACCTGCTTAACAAGCACCTTTTTCTTTGGGGTGGGGGGGGGGGGCGGGGAAGGAATTTTTTTACTTGCACTGACAATGGCATGAAGACACAGCGGGCTTTTTTAAGAAAAAATTGTGCAGTATTCATGCTACAAAACCAAATCATAAACGCTAGTTTAGTGTTTCCAGAAATTCTTTAGTGTAGGTTCAAAAATGTAGTGAAACTCTTATGGTCCCTTATTGTTTGCGAATTGATGATGCTTTCCACCTGCATCTCAATTTCATTGACGTCTCTTGTATTGGTTCCTATTTTGTTTGTTTTTCTTTTTTTTTGAAAAAAAGAGACTGTTTCTTTGTCAGCATTTGATGGCGTGGCTCAAACCCCGCCTTGAACCGTTGGGACGGCAAAAAAAATAATTAAAAGGAAGAGTTCGTTGCCCGCTGAGAACGTTCCTTTTTTTAAAAAAAAGTCTTGCATACGACCAAAGTTTCTTCCTTTTTTTAAAAAAAACAAAACAAAATCAAGTTCTTTTTCAGCTGGTTATTTTTCTCCCGTCACCGTCGATTCTGCCTCTGTTTTGGACGTCAAAGGAAGGGCAATGGCCGACGGCGTGTTGACGACAACCCAGCGAGTCAAAGTCTTGCTGCCCTCCACAATTCGCTCCACTTCCTTGATCACGGGCAGGTTGTGCAGCTCTGCCCCCACCTTCCCTCTCTGCCCTTGCTGCCTCATCTCCGGTCCTTTGATGACCGCTGTGATGACTTGAGGAGCACTTTGGCCTCCTGCCTGCTGGGCGGGCACTGCTAGCCTCATGACCGGCGTGCCCCCCGCCACCGACACGGGGGACAGAGCTTGAATGGCTGTCGCCGCCCCCACCACATTAATGCCGCCGGACGTAGCCAGGCCTGCCTTTGTCTGTAAGTGGCACTGGGCTATCTGTGCCACGGGGATGGTGATGATTTTGGTGGGCTGCATCGCGATTTTGTCGCCATTCTCTGCCGTGCCGGCGGGCACCATGGTAGGAATAGTCTGGATGACCACCTTCGGGGTCGAGCCAGTGGTGTTTGTACTGGTTATTACCGTGGAAACAGGATTCAGCGTCTGGACGGCCATCGTTGAAAACTTCTGCCCCGAGGAGGTCATGACGACAGGCACTTGCATTGCCACCCGTAAGGTTCTGCTGCTGGCAGAGAAAACAAAAATTGACAAATTAGCAATAATTACCCATTTCCCTTCAGGTTTCGAGTTCCACTTACTGTGAAGTCTCATTCTTTTCTGGAATGCATATAAGACAGGTGCTTAATGTCAGCCTGACTCAGTGGGTAACCCTCTTTTCTCTAAGGCAGAAGGTTGTCGGTATAAAATATGATAAACTGCTAATAGCTCGTCATTCCAAGGGAAAAGGGTTCAGTGACAAGTTATGCTGAGAGGCAAGTTAAACATGCGTATAAATACATAAATGCGTATGCAATATTTTGAGATGACTGGCCAATCCCGTTGCCGGATGGAGCCTGAATGCTGGTGGCCGGGGCTTTATTTTTTCTAGTTATATAATAATCCTTGCATTTGATATTGCACTTTTCACGTCTTCGAGACGTCTCAAAGCACTTCACAGAATACACTGTAAAGTGAATTGACTATATTTGTGGGCGAAACGCGGCAGCCAATTGCACATAGCAATGCCCCACAAACAGTCGTGGATTGAGTGACCAAATTATTATTGTATTTTTTTTTCATTTCATCAGAATTCTTACAGTCCAGAGATGGGCTCTCCCATCAAACTGTAACAGTAACTGTCAAGTGTATAAATAGTTTCAGCAATTCAGAAAAAGATTCCTAGGATGAAAGATAATATGGCTGACAAAACAACTAACCAAATAACATTCTACTGTGCTTTGGAAGTCCGAAACTCAAATCCATGCGAAATATGGGAGACCTGTTGATTTTACAGTATATACCAATGGGAGTTCGGGAGTCCTAATGCCAAGCTAAAATTCATCCTCAGGATGCATGCACAAAGACAAATTTGTTTATCTCTACCTCAAGCTGATCCTTATCCAGGATTCATGATTGCTCCACCCAATTCAGATAATTGTTAATAGTAGTTAATAGTTTCAGCCTTTAATATTTTATTAGTTTTCCCTTTGAGTCGAATTATGTCTTTTTTTTCTCTCTCATATTCGCTTTTAGTCAGGTGGCCTATTCGCTTTAGTCAAGAGTTCTGGAACGTTACCCTGCTTGAGAGGCGCTATACAAGTGCAAGTTGTTGTTGTGTGCAAAACCTAATTACCAAATCATGATACAATGTCAATACCGGGATTTAATAATAATAATTGTTTAATTTGATATAGCGCCTTATCTATCATGTCGTCGAAAAGTCTCAAAGCACTTCACAGGAATCTTACTAAGCGTAATGACCGTATAAGTTTATAGACGGACGTAGATTGTAGATTTCTCCCTTCCCCAGCCCAGGAATCAGCTGCCAATTGTGGTGTCACAACTGTTGCCTTAGTGCCTTTGAACATGCATTACATTGCAATAATTCATACCATCAGCGCACTGCCCCCTTCACATGAGACATTAAGTTCAGGCTTACAAAGAGCAGTGCCACTTAGAAAGGCTGCAGCTGAAATCACTGCCTGAGGCAACTTCAGAATGATATCTATGCTTCGTGATAATCGCAGCTACACTGATGGGAGTCGAGAATTCTTTACTTGGGACAAATAAGCTCCAATTAAAAGCTTTTAAAATCTGATCTACTGTTTCCTACCAGGTATTCAGGGTGCAGTAACTGGGTGCACATTGGTACTGTGATATGCACCTTCCCCATAAAGGGAAACTATGGCTCTATTTATTATAAAATATAGAGACACACATCCCTTTCGGGTGGTGAAAGTGTTAAAATGCTGGAATTATGTGGAAACAAGATAAACCGGATTTTGGAGCTCATGGAATTAGCTTTTTATTAAAAATGAAACCTAAACAAAGTGATAACATGCCATTATTTATCATCCTCACATCCTCCACACAATGTAGCATTTAAGTCCACCAAATTGTGGACTGCTGGAACTTTTATGATAATAATAATCCTTGCGTTTGATATAGTGCCTTATCACGTCTTCGAGACGCCTCAAAGCGCTTCACAGAATAACAAAAGGAATTGACTGTATATTTTGTGGGCAAAACGTGGCAGCCAATTGCACTCAGCAATGTCCCACAAACAGTGACCAGTTTATTATTGAAGTGACCAGTTTATTATTTTTTTAAGAGGAATTATTACCCCCAGAAAAGTGATCCACCAATCGACTAACAACCGAGTTCCTACTCACTGCTCGGTAAACAAGAGGCGTGTGGAGTAAGGAAACTTGATAGCATTTAACCTTGAAGAAATCCCTGTGCTCCTCTGACATATCACTTGACCCTCCAGGTTAGACACACAAACGGAGTTAACTCCTCCCACAGGCAGTTTCCAGTTTGTTTACTGCAAGGCAATAAACCTGGCAAGATTCACAGAACTACTTCATCTCCAAAGCTAAGCAGCTGCCACGTTCCACCATAAAAAGTGCCAAATTTAAAAACAATTCAGATCAAAGGCCACAGGTCCATTTGTTCTAAGATTTTTTTTAAAAAACATCGAGTTTTCATGAGTACGGGTCATGGCAAGTTGCCCGCGCAAATCTGTTGCAACACATAATCCTGGGATTCCCTTCAAGAGGTTTCAAGGCTTCTACCTACGCAAAGCTTTACTTGAAATTGTTTAACTAGAGAGAACAGAGTATCCCAAACGTAGGAAATCCTCCACACGTCAGTGCACAGTGTGCATGAATTTCTTTCCTCTTAGTTTTACAAACTGGGGGGTAAAATCTGCAATAAAGTGAGATTTCCTCGAGTTAAATAGGGAACATTTAATGATCACCAGCAGGTGGCACTCCCTCTCCACTTAGGTAGAATTGTTCTCTTGCAGCCTCATCCGACACCATTTGTTTTTTATATTTTGATTTTTTTTAATAAATTGGTTTTTTAAATGCGTTTCGAGTTTCTGGGGCAACTTTAATGTTCCTTTTTTTTTGGTCAATGTTTCCTGGGCTCGATCAAGCAGGTAGTGCCCTCCTTCCCAAGCTCGGAAATAACTTTTAAAGAGATCGTCAGCTTAGGCCTAGCTTTGGCATGAATTCTTCTCCCCTCCTTTCCAGTGAGCTGGAAGAGAACAAATCATCTTACCCAGAGAAGCAAGTGCCATCTCGTGGTAGTTATCAAAACTTTTGTTATTTAGCCCAAGGAAGGCTGTAAAATTACCAAAATTTTGCCCTTGGTTTTACCCGAGTCTAGAAACCAGATTATATAAATCAGGGCTTGTTGAAACAGGTCCTGATGAAGTTTCCTGAAGTGGCACAAAGGCAGGAGTGAGAAGGTGGAAGCTGGGTGACTAGGTGACTAGCATTCTGTTCACTTTCGTGCTAGTTAAAAACATTGTATATTACCAATGGCTGGGTTCCAACAAAAGTGGTAAAGCCTTAACTAGAACCATATCCCCAAATAACGTGTCACAAGCACTAGAAAAGGAGGGCCAACTGAGTCTTTCAGCCCAGTTAGGTTCCTGAGCTATCCCACTGCACCACACAAGTTCCTCAGCTTTAGGCTGGTGTTCAACAAACCTCTCGTAATTGCATAGTTATTTAATGTAATACCCATGTGCCTGGGATCTACTAACCTGGGAACAGTTGTGGTTATGACTGGAAGGGACGTTGTAGTCATATGAGACAGGATTCCACCTTGACCAACCGGTGAGACCTTCACTGTTGCCATTTTGCCCAGCTTCACAACACTTTGCTGAGCTCCGCTCCGAGGACTTCTCGAAGCCGCCGTCGTTGTCTTTACCAATATGGACGAGGAGATGCTGTCTGCAGAGATGGGAGTTGTCGCTACTGGGCTGCCAATGGCAGCAGCCAGCATTTCTGATGGGTAGGGATCTTGGCTAGTAGGGTCCACTTTCTCTTCGTCAATGATGATCAAGTTTTTGGGCATCTCCTTGAACTGATAGACCAATCGCTGTCCCTCTACCTTGGCCAGAATCCCTCTTTGGTAGTAATACCTAGCCAGAACAACACCAGAGTTGAAAGCCATTGTGACTACACAACACATTTAGTCCAGCCTATAAACCTCACAAGAGACATGGGTAGATGTTTCCATTATTAATTCCCCAACTAGTTTACGTTAAAGTGGAAACAAAGCGCTGACATCTCTTTGGAACTAACGGGTATCCACAAGCTGAGTCTGCATTCAAACAAGCTCTTTGATTCACTCATAAAGCAGCACTGTGGAAGCTGCCTCAGAGCACATGGCTCAAATCTAATCAAGGGTTGTAAAGCAAAGTGTTGATAGAATCGCTTTATTAGGTACTTGACACTTCGATTTTGTTACCTTGACATTTAACCCATTTTATTACAACTGCTGTTTGTACAGAGAAAAGCAAATGTAATAAAAGCTATGTAAAAATGTTCCATCTCCCAAAAGCAATAGGTGACTAGCTACCACCTGTATTGCACTGGCACTTGAATCTTTATACAGAAAAACATAGCTTGTCCCAATTTTTTTTCTCACCACTGGCTTACACCTCTCTACTTCTTGTACAGTCTCTTCTTGCTGAGCTGTGAGTTCATGGGTTCTTTGCCCTGTGGTGCTCTGCCCAAGTGGCTATTGTTCTTGTATGAACCTGGGCAGTGAGTGGCAACAGACCACTTGACTGGAGAGGGTGTTACAGCTGACATCAACCCACTGGCTGCCACTCACATAAATACACACACATAAACGGAAACACGTACACACACGTAAACAAGCACATTCACAGACGTAAACACACACACACATAAACACATACACAACCAGTAGAGGGTGGTGTAGTAGGAGCAGGCAATTAAGGGAGTGTTCCACTCCCATTTAGTACTGACTGAAACCAGCAAACTCAGCAAGGATTTGAACCAACGAGCTCCTGGTCCACAAGCTGCAGCTCTATCTACCGCACCATCAAGGCTGCACCACTATATGAGTGGCAAGCACTGTTCATTCGGTGCTTACTTACCTTCAACAGTTATCTTTATTATAAAGTTTGTATCATTGCAGAATGCAATTTTACAATAGCAAGCAGGGCTCTCCTGATGGCTCATTAGGTTAATGCACTTTGTGTCCCAGTACAAAGTCATACACAGTACAAATGCCCAGCAAATGCACAGTTTCCCAGTCTTCCCGGAATTTGCATTCCTCGGCCGAAAGGCGGCAATAGGCAAGGGCTTGGGATAGACTTGGACCTTAGTGTCCTTGGGATGGGGGAAATAGAAGGAAATTTGCATGGATTTACACTCCCGCTCAATAATGAACTCTGTTGGAAAGTGCGTCCACACATGTTTATATAGCACAGGCAGGCATCACGCAAGAACAGCAACTGGACTTGATTGAAATGGAAGAAAAGTGAAGGCATACTGCGAGGGTTGGCCAATAACAATCACAGCCAGGACTGGACTCAGTAGTAAACAACTACAAACTACATTTATATTGCGCCTTTCACTTTGGGAGGCCGCCCCAAGGTGCTGGACAGTCAGGGATTTGCTCCCGAGCTGGGGATTGGGATTAGAGGTGGCGGAGTGCAGGGAGTGTAGGGGTAGGAGGGTGACCAACGGCACAGTCGAAGAGGAGGCTCTTGAGACCGACCTTCAAGGAGGCGCGAGGTAAAGTTTAGAAGCAAGTGATTTCCAAACACAAAGCCGTAAGATTGAGATACTGATAAGAGCTACAGTTTCATTTGTGAGGCTTCACATTGTGTGCTTTACCTTAGTGCCCTGCCCATGGTCTCGTAGTTCATATCCGGCTTGTTTTTGTGTTTACCCCACAGCTTTGATACCGCCTTAGAGTCCACGAGTTTAAAGATGCCCTTCTCACGCTGGGTCCATTTGATGTACCGAGGGCAGGTGTTCTTGTCCTGCAGTAAGTCCAGGAGGAACTCCCAGAGGTAGGTGGTATTCCCTGAAGAAGCAAAAGCACAATGATTCAAATCAGACCACAGGAGGAGTAACAGAAATCATCAGCATTTAAAGTAAAGGGAAGCAAATGTCTGCCAACTTTTCCTCTTAGGCAAAGCAACACATGGCATTCCCAGTGGACAGGATCAAGTCCTATCCCCCTTCCCCCAACTTCAACTCCTGAGATCACTGGCTGCCACGTTTCACCCACAAATACAAAGTCACTCCACTTTATAGTATATCCTGTGAAGTGTTTTGAGACGTACTGACGACTTGATCAGGCGCTATATCAAATGCAAAGATTATGATTATTATTATCATCATTTCAGCCATGCTGCGGTGCGGAGGGTAAGCTATCATGGTACAACTATCACATATCCACTAGTGGCTAGCCAAATTGCTCCAAAGGCTGAGATTGTGAGAGCAAGTTACCGAGGCACTACCTAGATTCCGGATTCATGAACACACGCTCGTATATCCAGGGCTTGGTATCTACCTTGATCGGTATGTAGAGAGTTAAGCAATTGCTGCTCAAGCTCAGCGCCTCCAACTTGTGAAGCCATTGTTCACTGCTTAGGGACGAGTAACTGAGCTGCGGTGATAGCAAAGTCCTTTTACATTTAATGCTGAGCTGTGCTGGTCACCAAGAAGCTCACAAGGAGTTCCTGGTACCTGCCACCCCCCCTCCCCCCCGAGGGAGGCTCAAACCTGAACTTGTCAGTAACCCCCAGAGGAAGATAAAAGAAGTCAAAACACTTTCTGGAGAGAAGGGGAGGAAAGGAAACTGGCGAGCAAGAAAATCAAACCAAAGGAAAGCTGCAGGACTGCACTGCGAGGATGTTTTAATGAGCAAATGTGGGTAAATTATTTATTCTATTTTATTCAACAACAACAGTTTAAGCGTAACTACAGACAGTATCAGCATTTTTACCTCATACTTTATGACCACCAGGACAACAGTTTTGTCATCTCTGATTCCCCAATGTGTTATTCCCTCTGGGGACCCAGTTTATTTAGTGCGAACACTGACTGCCTTACCCTTCCCTTCTCTCGCCTTCTTTTTCACAGACAGGTCCGGCGCACTGCTAGGCAACCCCGATTGCTGGTTCTTTGGTTTTCGACCAACTGCAAGAAACATTTCAAAGCTTATTTACTACAAGTCTCGCCTACACCGAAAGCACAAGGCAAAATAGGCACTTCTAATAATCCTTGCATTTGATATAGCGCCTTTCGCATCGGGAACATGTCTTAAAATGCTTCAGTGGGTTATATTGCAAAATAATAATAATCTTTACTTTTGATACAGTGTCTTTCACTTTGGGAAGAGGTCGCAAAGCACTTCAGAGGATTTACTGTAAAGTGTATTTTGTAGGCAAATGCAGCAGCCACTGTTACACACAGCAATGTCCCAAAACACAGGCATGAAATGAATGACCAATTTCAATTGGGGATTGTTGGCCAGGACTTTGAGTAAAACTTGCTTCTCTTTTTGAATAGTGCCTTGGGATCTTAAACTGGCAAACAAGACCTCGGTTTAATATCTCATCTGAAGGACGGCACCTCCAACAAAAATGGCATATCCTCAATGATACATTGGAGTGTCAACAGCAACAACAAAATTACATCTGTAAAGCGCCTTTCACGTCGGGAGGACGTCCCAAGGCGCTGGACAGACAGAGTTTCCGGCCCGAGCTGGGGGTCGTGGTCGGGGAGGGTGGAGGGCAGGGGTGAAAGCAGTGAGATCGAAAGCACGGTCGAAGGAGGGTCTTGAAGTGAGTTTTGGAAGGTGGCGAGGGAGGGGGCAAGGCGGAGGGACTGCGAGATGGAGTTCCAGAGGGTGGGGGCAGAGTGGCAGAAGGCGCGACCGCCAATAGTGGGGCGAGCGAGGCGGGGCACGTGAAGCAGGCCAGAGCCCGCTGAGTGTCAGGCAACACTATGAGTTCCAAGACCCGACGTAGCACTTGAACTCACAACTTTCTGACTCACAGGCAATAGTGCTACCAACCAAGCCAGCAGACACACCTTTGGCATTGCTTCAGTAAGTTCTGACTGGAATTTAGCTAAAGGGAGTCAGTGCCGAGGAATGGGAACACTTCTCTATTTGAGTTGCACAATCTCATTTACAGCCACTGCCAGGACCGGTACATCAAAGCTCTTTCTAGTCTACACAGAGTGACTCAACTCCAACCTCAGATACTAAATTCAGATGAACTAGACTAAGGAGAATGTGGTCTACTGTGTAGAAATTCATAAGACGTCATTAAGATTGATTCCAGAGTCATAAATAGAGAATGTTGCCAGTAATCATAAGTGTATCAGGGCGATCCGTGCATATGCTGACAATTACCAGAATAATTCCTTATTTATTTGTGACTTGTGTCAACATGTAAGTTGTCCTGGGCTACAGTCTTGTGCCCAAAGTGGAAATGGGCTGAAACCATCCAACCTCATTGCACTTAGGATTTTCAAATGCAGGGAGAGGAAACATTCATCCACGAACGTTCCAGCTCCTTGAGACTTCCTCCCGACATGAGAGGCACTATACAAATGTAATTTTGTTGTTGTTGTTGTTGTGATGAATCCAAGGCCAGATTCAAAACAAGGTCCCTAAGGTGAAAGGTCAGAATTACATTAAAATCTTTCTGTACAAAAAGACACTATTCAGCCCATGTTTTTATAAATCGACCATTGGTTTTACGAATCTCACTTTGCACCTCCTTCTTACCACAACCTTTGGTTTACTGCCGAGGTGTTTATCCAGGTCAGTTTTGAACGATGAGTTCTACCCCAATCCCCAACTTCCAAACGTTCGAGCAAAAAAAACTAAATCAGTCTTTCTAAGACACGGTTCATTCATGCCCTACAATAATAAAACCGCAAGATAAGGAACATTTTGTGAGCTGGAAAATAAATAAGCAGCATGATAAAGTAACAGCACACCTTTCTTTTTCTTGGCTGGCTCTGGGGCTTCCAGTATCGGAAGTGCAGGCGACGTGTCCATGGGCTCAGACTCTTCTGTCGATACTTCCACGACAGTCTCTGTGATGACGTCGGGCCTCATGGCAGCGTGAACGAACTCGGGGGTTGACACACACGGTGGAACAAACACCTGAACTGCATTGAAGACGTGCGAAAAAATACCATCAACAAACTGCTCCTTCTGCTGCTGCTTTTACACTCAAAATTCATCAAAGGTCAAACCTAGAGCTTTTTTTCTACCTGTAGAACCTGAAACAATTCATCACGCCCAGCGGGTGAACAAAACGCCATTTGATATCCTGACACGGTATTAATCTGCAATTTGTCCCTCTTACGTTTTCATCAACAGTAACGTGTTACGCTGACACGACCCAGCAGTGTTGCACAAATAAACTCTACAGGCATGAATTTCCACCTGGTCTTCACATTAAAAGTATTGTCTTACTACTTACTCTGCAGAATTTCGGAAAAATCCTAAATTCAGTCTCAATTTGGAAACGACTTTAAATCGACATTGAACAAGAGGCAACATTTTAGGATTGCAATTTCAATCCCTTGTTGCAAGTGAGCGTATTTTGACTGAAATTCTTTTCATACAAAGGAGAGCAAAGATTCAGCTCTTGATCACTGAGTCAGTACGATTTGCAGTGTCAGTGGACGTCAAACTTGTCTGCATAGACAATATAGACCCTCAGGCATTTAACTTAATGAAAGCCTGGCTTCATAAATGGAGAATCATATCTATCTTATAACTAAACTTTAAGAATCAATCCTACTTTATAACTAACTGTACATCCATAGTTGTAATCTAACATATTTTTATCTGGAAGGTTTTAATTTCATGCAATTGCTGGAATTTCCAATTATAAAGAGTGTGAAGAAAGGACGAATTTCTGCTGAATTTGAATTTCGGTTGAAATGCAATGTAGGAAAACAGAACAAAAATGATTGGATAGCAGAGGATTTACAATCTTTTTTCGAAAATATATTTTACGTAGAATTATATGGCATGGAAACAGGCCATTTGGCCCAACTAGTGTTTATTCTCCACACCTCCCCACACTCTCTCTCCAGCTCTCTATTTGAAAGTATAATTTCACAACTCTCTTCTACCCCTCTTTGGGCAGTCTCTTCTCCCTCATGTGGGCATCAAGTTCTCCCTCAACTACATTGATGCTTTTTGCTTCAACCACAGCTTGTCACGGAGTTCCACATTCTCACCAACATCTGTGTGAAGTTCCTCCTAAACTTGCTATTAAATCTACTATTGCCTTAAATATATATAACATTTCTAATTTTGCACAAAAACAGTGTGAAACTAGAATAGAATGGCTAAATGAAATTGGCGGGAGGGGGTAACATTCCAGAAGCATTTCTTCCCAACATTTGATTCAAGAAACTGTAGTGCAATCTTAATCTATGGTGCAATTTTAAGAACAGAGTGGTAACCCAGCACTTTGGGTAAGATGCACCAAACTGCACTAAGTAAGAATTATTAGCCTTAAATATACTTATTCTCTTTCAATTACTCTTTTTAAAAGAATTAATGTAAATGCACAACAGCACGACAAAATGTATAAATTTTATTTTTGTCAAGCATAACAACCATTTGCTTTTACATAGCGCCTTCCACACAGGGTAGAGCCTCGAAGCACTTATAAGCATAAGGAGCTGTAGAACATTTGAGAATGCTACAAACAAAGCAACATACACAAGCTGGAATTTCACATTAGCTGCAACACTTGGCTGTTGCTTTTGCAGATTTGGCATTGCAACAGTGGCATTCCTGACGTACAAAACATTATCAAACTGGAAGTCGCTGGTCTGCGTTACTTCAGTGACTTTTTGAGCCTCTCTTGGGAGACTATAATTTCACAACCAGAAATTACCCTGTATCTAAACAGTAGCCAGTTTGGAGAACTAAAATGCCACCCTTGATATAAAGTTGGGCACCATTTATCTCTTTACAAAATGGGCTTTTATAAAGAGAGGGGCTTGAGGTTCAGTGAAATGTATTTGCACACCAAGCTCTGGAAGCAAACCCTTTCAACAACACAGACACAGAAATGCTCCAATCCTCCCCACACAACACAGTGAAAACCAACTGCAAGGCGGACAACCTACCATCATCGCGATTGATTTTTAGCTAAATGTAAAGGTTTAAATCTAATTAACTGGATCTATTTGCTGCTTCAATCAATCAATCAATGAAAGAAACAAAACACAATTTCTGTGACGTTACTCGCAGAGCGAGAATATCAGCCACTGAAAAGTGACCCAAGATCCCCACTTCAACACACAAGTCGCCTGAGGAGCACTCTAACCACTAAGCCACAAGACTCCAGTAGTAAAAGCTGGAGATACACAAGGAATCCTTAGTAGCAGAAAGCAGGTTTGCCACTTTTTCTCTAGCTTTTCCAATTGCATACTCCATCGACTTGTCCCCCTTATCCAAAAGCTTTACCCCCACCTGCTGCAAGTGTGAAGCATCCTCCTGACCATGCAAGTTCATCGGATATTTCCCAAATGGTTCCAACACTCCAAAGTTCACGTTGTACAGATTTCCACACATCTCCGTGACAGCACAGACCTATGGATTTTTAGAATTACACTGCAAGCTTCCCAGGTTTGTGATCAATAATAATGTAACCTCTGTGCAGCATTCTGCAAATGTATTAAATGTCAAGCCAAGTTCAGGAGAAACCCTTTGCCTTCACTCTGTGTTTGGGTTAAAAGACAACACTTAAGTACACAGATTTTGAGTGAAAATCCATTCATATTCACAAGACGGTAACAATTTACAAAGCTAAAGGTTCTGTTTCACATCAGGGAAAGACCAATACACACGTCAGTTAGAAATCTGCTTAATAATATAATAGCCATCATTATCATTATCAGAGAAACCTGCTGAAGTAGGTGAAAGCTTAAAAAAAGTAAAGATTGGTTTAAACAAAAACTCTATTAAAAAAAGAATCAAATTTTCCCTTCAAAACTTGCCCAAATAGGAATACGTACCAGAGTTCTTGTCATCTCTCAGGATGGTCGGAGAATCCATATGAAGCAGTGCCTCAGCTGCCTCGATGGTCTTGTCTGTGCAGTGTACGACATTGCTGCTGTGGACCGATGCTTCCACTGTGAAGTTAAGAGCAACAAACAATGAGCAAAGATCCTCCCTGAATTACACAACCTGTTATTTAGATGGAAATTGGCATTAAAAACCAACTTGGTTATTGTGACTGGTGAGACAATGAAATAGCAACTCCAAAAAGGATCATTCTGTAATCACTCTTGCTGTACAATCTATGCTTGAAATATATACCGTATTTGTAAATGTGAATTAATACCACAGCTTGCACTTATTAAGCACCCTTCACGTAGGATAACCTCTAGGAGCTATTTACAAAGAAGGCATTGGACAGCATAATAATAATAACAATCCTTGCATTTAGTCTAGCACTTTATCACGTCGTTGAGATGTCTCAGCACTTCACAGCATATATTTTAAAGTGGATTGACTGTGTAAGTTGTGGATGAAACATGCATTTTTATGGGCAAGGAAGCAGAGAGACCACTGGTCACACAGAGAAAGTACGTCACCGGCAATATCTTGCACGATCTGCTTTCTGAATATATGTAAGTCTGCCTCCAGCTCACTTGCAGCCAGACAACAAAAGGAAAGAAAACTCGACTTTCAGAGCAACTAATCACGTTGAAACATTTCAAACCATTTCATAAAGCACAATCATCATGTGTAGTGATAGTGACTATTTTGTACAGGGGAAATGGAGCGCCCACATTATAGCCACGAACCCAACGGAACCAGCAATTAAGTGAATGACTAATTAATATGGAGGATTACGGCTAAGAGACCGAGAGAAACTGCCATGTCTTTTCAAATGTCCTGGAATTTGTATCCTTGACCTTGGTTTAAGTGTCATCCAAAAGATGGCACCTCGGACAATGTATCGTTCCCCAAACACTGCACAAAAATGTCAGCCTTAGAGTAGATTATGAGCTCAAAGTTCCTACGTTGGGCTTGAACCTACCAACCTTCTGACCCAGAGGCAAGAGTCTTACCAACTGAGTCAAGCTGATACCCAGGAGGTTGAGTTAGTGGATCTCAGTCAAAGGAGCAGTAGATTTGCTATATATTGCCCTCGTCATCTGAACTGGGGAGGTGAAAATCAACCACATTCCTCGCTATCTAGTGCCCCATCTAGTAGAAAATCAGGACAAGATATCAATGAAGGCACAATTGGGTTTGACGATGATGATCCTCACAGTTCAATCGCCTGCCAACATCCAGGATCACACGTGATAAATGGCTTCTTACGAGCAGTACCAAAGAGAGTCTGGCTCCCGCCAGCACAAATTCAGCACCTCCTCAAGAGAAATAGCTTTCAAAGAATACGATGCACCTTTCCTTTTAAATAACCCAAATTAAAATATAGTGGTTCTCTAAGAAAGAGAAGTGGTTGAACCTCAAATCTTGTGCAACTTCCTTTTGAATGTAATTGGGAGTAATTCGGTTATATAACGGTTTGCAAGTATGCAACCCTTACATAAGGCTGCGGAGAAAAAAAAAACATTGAACAAACTTAAAAAGCCGCACGCTTTTTGGACCAATTGTAAAGCAGCATTTCACCGAATCTTTGCATAAACAGTGCATGTGAACAATCATTGATGTTTGGTCCCGTTTCCTGCCAAATCAGAATTGGACTAGATCCAGCGGTGACCACACCGCACTACACAGGAAACCACAATATTTCACACTTGGAACTGGAAGGTCCAAAAAGTACAGCTTCACCACAGTACTGCACAAGTCACATACTCCAAACAAAATAATTCAAGGGCGCAGCTGAACTGCTTCTCTCTGCCAGACTGTTACAGACAAACTGATGATTTATTTGCTCTGGCTATTTTGATGCATATTAACCCAGCATCCAAACACAACACAAACCTTGCAAGATGAACTCACTATTGAAAAGGCAATTTAGATTTGAGACAAAAGGGTCCTGCGGAATCATGACAAATCTGAATGCCCACCCCTCCTGTAAACGTTTTAGCCGCATTTTCCTTCCACTGAGAATCGTCAACTCAGCTCAGCTGGTAGAACGCTCACTTCTGAGCCAGAAGGCTGTGGGTTCAAGCCCCAGCGAGGAATTTGAACTCAGAGTCCAGGCTGGCAGTCTAAAGTATTAGGGAAGTGTGTAATTGTCGGAGATGTCATCCTTTAGAAGACACATTCACTTAAGGTCCCACCTACCTTTTCAAGAGCATTAAATGTCCCATGATACAGTTTGAAAAAAGAAGCATATTTCTCCCAGAGCCCTGGCCAACAATCCTCCAGCTCAGTGGTAGCCAAACCATGGACTGCGAGCCAGAAGTGGCCAACAGGGCCATTAAGAAGTGGCCCGCCGAACATTCGCACTAGTCGAGGTGAATCCATTTTAAATCAATGTTTTGTTTCGAAGTGTTTTTTCTTGATTTATGGCATAACATTTATGGCATAAATCAAGAAATATTCAATCAAAAAAATGTATTTTGTTGGCCGACCAAAAAGGTTGCTAGATGTTCCTCATCATCTTTAACCAAAGCTCATTTCTCTAGCAAACGAAATGCCTAATAAAAAAATTATACATATACAAGATGGATTTGTACATGTTTGTAAAAATTACTCTGAAGGGGTATTGAGGTATGTTAAAATTATAAAAAATGTTAACTCCTAAAAAGCAACTATCCAATTTGTGGTAATCCATGCAGGTCAGACCGTTCCTTTAAACTTCCAACACCCATGCGTACACAGAGCTTACGTGCACAAATACATTTTAAAATGGATGCTCGGAGGAAGAAAATACACAAATTATAGTTGCTACACATACAGCCCTCATATCCAGTCTCCATCCTGCTTCTCATCAAAGTGGCAGGAATGAAATGCAGAGTTTAATTGCTACATGTACACAAAATGTAAATTGCAGACACATCCAGCAGCTTCCCCAACTCCACTCTACCACCGAACCTAATATTTAACAAAAGATATACTATATTTACTATTTCAAAAATAGGAAGCATAGGAAAAGAGAAGAAAAATACTTTTACAATTAGGCTTTTTTACTTCATCTTGCACACAGAGGGAGAGGTGAAATTATAGTGTAAGCTGTAGCTTTAAAAAGAAACTGCCGAAAGAATAGCAAACAGACAGAATAAGTAGATCAAACATGTCTCAAAAAACAAAATAATGATTCTTTCTTTCAACTGATCAAGAAATGATATTTGCCACATTTGTTTTCCAAATAATTGGATGTAGCTGCATAAGGAGAAACTACAAATAATCAAAATTATTCCAAGTAATGCAAACCTACATACAAACTGTCACTCAGCCCTTACAAATTCACATTAATTTTCAAATATCTCCAATATTGGATATTACCTGAGCCAGTAGAAAAGTGCAGAAATATTTGGGAGAGATTTTGCAGAACTCTTTACAAATCTGTAGATAATCGAGGAGAAATTTGTTAAATTTTGAGGGAAATTGCGGAGGGTGGTATTGAGATGCATTTTGCTGCTAACCTACAATTTTTCCTCTTTTCTCATTTTCAAAAATGCTTCATGCTCAGGAATAAGCTCCTTCAGGTATGTATTACAAAGCTGTGATGGTGTTGTGATAGTCCCTCCCTGTTTCGTGTACTTGCATAGAAACTCTTGGAAGGCAGGAGCCTTTTCAAGCGGTTTGTCTGCTCTAGTCAAACAAAGTCCAATATGAATTCTTGCCTCTCCATAGGTGGTGCAGTGGCTCTAGAGAAGCAGGTTGTCAGAGCAACTTGTCTTTGAGGTCCAGATCTACCTAAAAAGGAAAAAATAAAAATGAATCTTCATGATCATTTGTCGCTAGAAATGTTCTGTCTATTTGATTTTGTTTGCTGTGGTTGTTTTATGTGCTTTTAAAATTCAATCAAAAAGGGAGATTAACTTTTGTAATCATATAAATTAAGATTTTCTTTCAAAATTAAAGTGAAAGCAAACAATGATACATTTTCATTTAATGTTATATATATCAAAAGTATTTTACCTTCTTTTATTTTCTTTATTGCCACTGCCTTGTGTTCACGTTTCCGCTTCCGCAAAAATTCACCGGACGTGCGATCGGAGCCGCTCCGGCCACGGTAGTGGCATCGAGCAAACAGCGCGAGGGGCCTGGGGCACTGTGGAAAAGTTTGTACCCAAGGAAGCCGGTGTAGCGGGTTTGTAGCGGGCGGCGCCATTGTGGAGGAAAATGCGGTGGTTTGTCCGCACTTTTCTATTGGCCCAGGATATTAACGGCCCATATCGCTAGCATTTTCATTTTCATCACAGGTGAGAGGTAGTTAGAAAGCAACTGAGAGAAAGAGAAATTGGTTCCTTAAGTCAAAGCAGCAAATGAGGGAGAGCCAAACTGTGGAGGTCTCCTGGATCAATTCTGGCAATATCCCTTGATACTCCTCTTCATCATGGCATTGCACCAGAGTTACACAAGGTATTCAAACTGCTTCAATTTTAACACAGCTTATGTGCAAGATGAGAAAACGATTCTTCTTGCAAAGAGTAATAAGAATCTGAAATGTACTACAACATCACCCTTCATGCAATATAATAGTCCTGTAGTTTAGTGGTTAAAGCACTCGCCTTGCAAGCAAGCGACCTGGGTTCGATTCCCGACAGGGCGAAATATTGGGCAAGTGTCCTTACTGCACAGGCCTCTATTTACCTAGTAGTAATTAGGAACACAGTTGTTAGTCGATTGGCGAATCGCTTTTCCGTGAGTAATAATTCCTTCNAAAAAAATAATAAATTGGTCACTTTAATTCACAACTGTTTGTGAACAGTGCTGTGCACAACTGCCTGCCATGTTTCGCCCACAAAGTATACAGTCAATTCACTTTACAGTACATTCTGTGAAGCAAGTTAGATGTCTCAAAGACGTGATAAGGCGCTATATGAAATGCAAGGATTATTATTATTATTATTTACGCAGGTCAGCATCTCAGAGCACTTACCTTAGAAACCATAGATGAGGAATCAGATGAAGGATTTAAGATAGAGATAGATACCTGGGCAGTAAAAAGGATCCAGAGAAAAGGCGGGATTTTAAAAAA